AGTAAGCGTTCCGGTTTGCAAACTTTTTTCGGAATCAGAACGTGCTCTGATTTGTTACGCTGAGGGCTGTTTTGGCTATTTATTTTGCGTTTTTGTGGCTCTTTTTGTTGTGTCTTTGTGACTGTATAGAACCCAGTTTGGCTACTGACAGATTGATTGTGCGACTGCAGTAGGTTGTTTGTTGCTTTCGATTTATGGATCGACGGTCCCGCTAGATAGCGAAATCCATGTTCAATTGCTGTTTTAGGGGTTGTTTTTAAAAGTCCGGAACGGATTAATCCGTTTGGCATTGCTTTCTATGGGAAAGCAGCACGCCTTGGTTTTGGAACACTTTGGTTTTGGAACAGAATTTCCAGAACGGATTAAGTTTGAAAACCAAGGTACCACTGTATAAAGGAGATCGCCTCAATTCATTGTGTTGTTGTTTAGTCGTTTGGTCATGTCCAACTCTTGGTGACCCCCTGGACCAGAGCATGCCAGGCACTCCTGTCTTCCACTGCCTCCCGCAGTTTGGTCAAACTCCTGTTTGTAGCTTCGAGAACACTGTCCCACCATCTCATCCTCTGTCGTCCCCTTCTCCTTGCACCCTGCATCTTTCCCAACATCAGGGTCTTTTCCAAGGAGTCTTCTCTTCTCCTGAGGTGGCCAAAGTCTTGGAGCCTCAGCTTCAGGATCTGTCCTTCCCGTGAGCACTCAGGGCTGATTTCCTTCCGAATGGAGAGGTTGGATCATCTTGCAGTCCATGGGACTCTCAAGAGTCTCCTCCAGCACCAACATTCATTGTGTACCATCAATAATTTTTAAGGATCTAGTAGGGTCTCAGCTGCCCCCTCTCTCCCCCCCCCCCCATGGCCACATCTATGACACGCATGGAAAGAAAGACCCTGGTTCCAAAAATGGCTCCTGGTTCAAGGATCGGCAGGGAACGTGCCAATTTCTGCAGAAGGAGGAGAAAGAGGGTTTTGCATGTGGGGCGTTTGGGTGGGGGGCGAGAAAGAGCAGAGCCTGGGCTGGCAGAGCAGAGTGGGGGGGGGTGCGGTTGTCTAATCCAGGATGCTACTAGAAACCATTAGTGCTGAGCTCAGCGTCTGCTCTGCTGATGGCCCGGAGAGCCTGATTATTTTTAGATAAGATGGAAAGCCTGGAACGGAGAGTTCTGGGCTGCAGCCTGGCCGAGGCGTGAGCAGTGTTTCTGATGAAGGAGGGAGGAGGGGGGCGGCGAGTCGGGTGTGGGGAGGAGAGGAGAGTTGCTGCAGTGGGCGAGCTTTTTCTCCCCACCTCTCTCTGCACGGAGAGTCCCCGTGGCTCTCCCTTCAAGGGAGGTCCGGTCCGGCGCGCGCACACACAAAAACTGCAGCATAAAGTCAACCGGTTGCAATGCAATCTCACCCAAGCCTTTAAGCCCAGGGTTTTGCAACCTTTTTGGGGCCATGGCTCCCTTGAACTACAGTGGTACCGCAGCTTGAGTACTTAATTCGTTCTGGAGGTCCGTTCTTAACCTGATACAGTGGTGCCTCGCAAGACGAAAAGAATCCGTTCCGCGATTCTCTTCGTCTAGCGGTTTTTTCGTCTTGCGAAGCAACCCCATTAGCGGCTAAGCGGATTAGCGCTATTAGCGGTTTAGCGGGCTTAGCGGATCAGCTGATAAGCGGCTTAGCGGCTTGGGGAAAAGGAAAAAAACCCTGCAGGAACTCACAAGACATTTTCTTCTTGCGAAGCAAGCCCATAGGGAAATTCGTCTTGCGAAGCACCTCCAAAACGGAAAACCCTTTCGTCTAGCGGGTTTTCCGTCTTGCGAGGCATTCGTCTTGCGGGGCACCACTGTACTGTTCTTAACCTGAAGCACCACTTTAGCTAATGGGGCCTCCCGCTGCTGCCGCACCGCCGGAGCACAATTTCTGTTCTCATCCTGAAGCAAAGTTCTTAACCCGAGGTAATATTTCTGGGTTAGCGGAGTCTGTAACCTGAAGCGTATGTAACCTGAAGCATATGTAACGCGAGGTAGCACTGTACATTTGTCTGTGGCACAAGTGTGTGGCTCAGGAGCCCAGTTATATCCCCCCCTTCCCTGCAGAGCTGGCAGCCCCTCACCCTTTTTCGAAGAAGAGTTTGGATTTGATATCCCGCTTTATCGCTACCTGAAGGAGTCTCAAAGCGGCTCACAATCTCCTTTCCCTTCCTCCCCCACAACAAACACTCTGTGAGGTGAGTGAGGCTGAGAGACTTCAGAGAAGTGTGACTGGCCCAAGGTCACCCAGCAGCTGCATGTGGAGGAGCGGGGAAGCGAACCCGGTTCAACAGATTACGAGTCTACTGCTCTTAACCAAAACACCACGCTGGCTCTCCCCCCTCCCTTGTGGAGCGTTCCCTCGGCCTCCTCTCCCCTGTCCACCTTGTGGCTTTCTCATCTCGGTCGGTGGAAAGATTGGACTGTCGGATGCCCCGGATATAGAGTCCTGTCGATGATCAGCCATTGAGGAGGCAGCTGATTCAGTTCACATTTAACGCCAAGCTTATCTCACTAAACCACAGAGCCTAGGACTTGTCGATCAGAAGGTTGGCGGTTCGAATCCCCGCAATGACAGGGTGAGCTCCCGTTGCTCGGTCCCTGCTCCTGCCAACATAGCAGTTCGAAAGCACATCAAAGTGCAAGTAGATAAATAGGTACCGCTCCGGCGGGAAGGTAAACAGCGTTTCCGTGCGCTGCTCTGGTTCGCCAGAAGCGGCTTAGTCCTGCTGGCCACATGACCTGAAAGCTGTACGCCGGCTTCCTCGGCCAGTAAAGCGAGATGAGTACTGCAATTCCAGAGTCGGCCACGACTGGACCTAATGGTCAGGGGTCCCTTTACCTTTATCTGTCTCGCTTGCTCTTTCCAAAAACTCTACAGAAACCAAAAACACAGCCCTCCGTCAAAACCCACGCTTCCCCGAATGGTGTGGTGCTGTTCTCTGGCCAAGCGATGTGCAGAAAAATGCACGGATTGGGGCCAAGTGTGCGCCAAGCGGTGTTGAAAATAGCACCCCAAAGTCCATCATATCAGGGCAGAGGTTTCTATGGGAAAGCAGCGCGCCTTGGTTTTGGAACGCTTTGGTTTTGGAACAGATTAAGTTTGAGAACCAAGGTACTCAATTATTTGAGGTTCTGCCCCCACCCTTAGCAGAAACCTGCCCCCCGCAATGTCCTATTTACGGGGTATTTTTACCTGTGATTTCCCAAGAAAGGCTTGACAACTTTGGCTGCCCTGACAAAAATCCTGAATACACCTATGCCCAGGGTTGAAGGGGGGGTCGTTAGCGGGTATTGCCACACTCTGCCTGTTGTGAAAGGGCTGCCGTGCCGGCAGGCCGAAGTTCAACTGGTGCATCCTTCTGGATGTGTGAAATTACTCCCCTGTAAAAATGTATTGGGATCGATCCAGATACACAGAGTGAGGGACGGGAGACAAAATTCGTCCAATTTCATTTGCTCTCACCCAGTGAGCTTCACGGCCAAGCACAGGGGTCTTGAACCCTGGCCTCTCAGGTCCACGGCCAGCACTCTAACCACTGTACCACACTGCCTCGCCTTTGCCTTCAAAAGCAGATCTAGCTACTTCGCCCTTTGCGAAACACTGCCGCGCTCCGAGATTCGCGCTCCTCTGAATTTTGCGGCGCAGACAAGAAACGGGTGCGGAAATGCACTAACCCAGGGTAAAGCGTGCACATAAACACGTATATTTGCGAAAGTAAAATGCAGAAATGCATCATGTTGGGGAAATATAAACATTAAGAGGAGTCTGCTTTGAGAAAATGTGCGTGTTAGAGAAGATTCGAGTTGATTTCCCCACTTTTCGCAGGCCATGAATTTTTATAAACAACAGCAATTATTATACTCTGCCCAGCTGTTTCCCCAGCTGTCGCCTCTTCCTCTCCTTGTTTTCTTTAAGCTAAGGTGTAAAGGTAAAGGGACCCCTGACCGTTAGGTCCAGTCGTGGCCGACTCTGGAGTTGCGGCGCTCATCTCGTTTTATTGGCCGAGGGAGCCGGCTCACAGCTTCTGGGTCCTGTGGCCAGCAGGACTAAGCCGCTTCTGGCGAACCAGAGCAGCGCACAGAAACACCATTTACCTTCCCGCTGGAGCAGTACCTATTTATCTACTTGCACTGGTGTGCTTTCGAACTGCTAGGTTGGTAGGAGCAGGGACCGAGCAACGGGAGCTCACCCCGTCATTGCGGGGATTCGAACTGCCGACCTTCTGATCGGCAAGCCCAAGAGGCTCCATGGTTTAGACCACAGCCCCACCCACGTCCCTTGTTTCTTGCTTAGAAAACCCAATAAAAAGTTATCTATGAAAGAAAAGGAAGTGAAAATCTGCACACAAAAGTTGTGGAGCTTTTTGGGGGGTGTCCGGCAATTTCCAGACGTCTGGCATGCCTAGTCCCTCCAAACTCAACGAAAGAAGATGTCTCCTGGGGCAACTGGTTGGCCACTGGGAGAACTGGAGGCTAGACAGGCTCTGTCTGTCCAGCAGGAATGTTCTCTCATCGTGCCACAGATTCATTCCACAAATGGGCATGTGTGGCCATCCATAATCGTGACCCGTCACGCGGGCTGAAAGTGAGAGCGATAATGTGAGTCTGTGAGGGTCTGGAGGCAGTTGGAGGATGGATGGTGGCTAACAGATTGAGGCTGGATCCTGACAAGACAGAAGGACTGTTTTGGGGGGACAGGAGGTGGGTGGGTGTGGAGGACTCCCTGGTCCTGAATGGGGTGACTGGGCCCCTGAAGGAGCAGGTGCGCAGCCTGGGAGTCATTCTGGACTCACCGCTGTCCATGGAGGCACAGGTTTAGACCACAGCGCCACCCGCGTCCCAGTTTCTTTTAAGCTAAAAAGTCCCAAATGCTGTTGATATTTCTTCCTTTTCGGATCTCTGAAGGGATTTCGGTGCAAGGTAATCGGAGATATCATTAGCCCAGGGCATTTGCAGTCGCAAAGCTCACGCCTCCATCTTTCCTTTTCAGATTCAGATCAAAGCAGTAGCCCCAGGACGGGAATCGGCTCTGACCAGGAGGACAGCAAGCCCATCATCACGCTGGGTGAGTCAAGAGATGCTCAGCGCACAAAAGTGGGAAGAGGAGAAATGTCTTACGTCCCTATAGCAGGGATGGGAGGAGAACGCCATGCCGCTGGACTACAACTCCCATCATTCCTGACCATTGGCCATGCTGTCGGCTGGGGCTGATATGAGGTGGAGTCCCGCAAGCTCTGGAGACCCCCATGTTCCCCGTTTTCCCTCTAAGGCGTTCTTCTTTCCTCAAGAGGGAATTCCTCTTCTAAACAGAAGCATTCCTCCGTCTCTGGCATGTAGTAAGGAAATGGTACCTCTTAGGTCAGGCATGCGGGTATCTGAGGGCCTCTAGATGCTACAACTCCCATCATCCTTGCTCCCTGGTCATCCTGGCTACGGAGGCATCCCTGATTCTCAGGAGGGAATGCCTCTGCTAAACAGGGAGTACCTAAACAGAGATTATCTCCTCTAAACAGAGAATACCTCTTCTAAGCAGGGAGTGCTTCTTCTAGACAGAGGATACCACCTTTAAACAGAGAATACCTCTTTGAAACAGGGAGTGCTTCTTTGAAACAGGGAATGCTTCTTCTAAATAGAGGGTACCACCTCTAAACAGGGGGTGCGTCTTCTAAACAGAGAATACCTCTCCTAAATAGAGAATACCTCCTCTAAACAGGGAGTGCTTCCTCTAAATAGGGGATGCCTCTTCTAAACAGAGGTTACCTTCTCTAAACAGATAATACCTCCTCTAAACAGAGAATGCCTCCTCTAAACAAGGAGTGCTTCTTCTAAAGAGGGAATGCCTTTTCTAAATAGATAATACTTCCCCTAAACAGGGAGTGCTTCTTCTAAATAGAGAATACCTTCTCTAAACAGATAATACCTCCTCTAAACAGAGAATACCTCTTCGAAACAGGGAGTGCTTCTTCTAAACAGAAGATACCTTCTCTAAACAGAGGCTACCTCTTCTGAACAGAGAAAAACCTCCTCTGAACAAGGAGTGCCTCTTCTAAACAGAGAATACCTCCTCTGAACAAGGCGTGCTTCTTCCAAGCAGGGAATGCCTTTTCTAAACAGAGAATACCTCCCCTAAACAGGGAATGCTTCTTCTAAACAGGGAATGCCTCCTGTTTCATCCTGGCAATTTGTTTATTTTTAATAAGAAGGAAAGGGAAGCATCTTGTTTGTGCATCTAGTTTCCCCGTTTCAATTCCTCCCAGGTCGTTATGCTCCCCGTGCTCAATTAATCTCTCTTTCCCCCTTTTTCCGCAGACGCGACAGATTTCCAAGAGAACTTCGTCACGTCCGGGGTGTTCAGCGTCACGGAGCTGATCCAAGTTTCCCGGAGTGAGTAGGCCTCTCTTTGCTGCTTCTTGTATAGCTGGCCTTCGTGAAAACCTGGCAAGAGGTTCTGGTGGTTTGTTTTTTTGTGTTGTGCCGGCAGGGTAACTTTTGCACAAGCAGTCTTGCACTCTGCAGCTGCACGGTCATAATTGTGCAAGGAGGAATTGCTGCTCCCAGTCCGTGTCGACGAAACTGATTTGATTCCTAGCCGTGATTCAAGATGGCGTCCAATTCGGACAGAGCAAACTCCTTTGTTTTGCTTCTGTTCTTTTTTAATTTTGTTTTTAAGGGAATCAGAAAGTATACGAGCAGGAATTGAAAAATAGACACCTGAGGGAGAAGGGGAAAGAAAGGGGGGGGGATATATAAATTGAAAATAACTTGGGGAGACCTAAGAAATGGGGTGTGAACCGGAAATAAATAATGCGACTTCCGGTTGGCCGCGCGATTAATGGCGGACGGGAGCTCTTTTTGGGGGGAAAAGGGAAATAAATAATGCAATATAAAGCAGTAAACGGGAAAGAAAGAACACGTTGACTTCGCCAACTCCATGTATTCGACCATCTTTATCTGCCAATCTTCCAGAGTAGGGAGTTCCTGCTGCTACCATCTCTGAGCCAAAAAGTATTCTTGCAGCTGTTGTGGCGTACATAAACAAACGTTGACCCCCTTTCTCTGCCTTCTCCGCAGCGCCGGTGGTGACGGGCACAGGGCCAAATTTCTCCCTTGGGGAGCTGCAGGGGCACCTCGCCTACGACTTGAACCCCTCGAGTACGGGCATGAGGAGGACGCTCCCCAGCACTTCCTCCAGCGGGTGAGTCCGGGCTTGGAGTTGTGGTGCTGTGTTCCCATCCTTTCATCGCCTTCCCTTGCTACACCGTCCTTCCCTCAGCATTCTCCTAATGAGCGCCGCAACCCCAGAGTCGGCCACGACTGGACCTAATGGTCAGGGGTCCCTTTACCTTTGACATGGGATTAGTAGAGGTAAAGGGACCCCTGACCATTAGGTCCAGTCGTGGCCGACTCTGGGGTTGCGGCGCTCATCTCGCTTTATTGGCCAAGGGAGCCGGCGTTCAGCTTCCGGGTCGTGTGGCCAGCAGGACTAAGCCACTTCTGGTGAACCAGAACAGCGCACGGAAACGCCGTTTTTCTTACCGCCGGAGCAGTACCTATTTATCTACTTGCACTTTGACGTGCTTTCAAACTGCTAGGTTGGCAGGAGCAGGGACCGAGCAATGGGAGCTCACCCAGTCGCGGGGATTTGAACCGCCGACCTTCTGATCAACAAGTCCTAGGCTCTGTGGTTTAACCCACAGCGCCACCCGTGTCCCTAACATGGGGATTAGCAGCTAATAAAAGTTTGGGTTCTCTTTTGTTCGGGGCTTCCATCTTGTTCCACCTTGTGGCAGGTGGGAGTCCTGTCGCGACAGTCTTCAATAAAGACCAAGCCTACTGGCTGCTGTTTTGCTCTGGTATTCCTGGCTGGTGTCCTTGTTTTTTGTCCAAGGGAGCCCTCAGATTTCTCCGTTAACAACCCGAACGCTAACTGCTCTTCCCCCTTCTGCCTCACCTCAGGAGTAAACGTCATAAGTCCGGTTCGATGGAGGACGACCTGGACGGCAGCCCGGGGGGCGAATATTACACGTCGCCCAGCTCCCCCACGAGTAGCAGCCGCAATTGGACGGAAGACATGGAAGGGGGTAAGTTGGAGGGGAGCCGGGCCACCCCCAAACCTTCAGGAAACCAAGCATTTGTTTGGGGCTGCACCTTCCTGAGAAGAGGAGGGCAGTATAGATTTAGAACAGGGGTTTGCAGAAGGAGACAGTCCAGAGGCTGCAGAGTGGAGAAGCTGGGAAATATTGGGGGAGCAGCGAGAATGAATGAATGTTTATTTGCGTCAGCCGTCGGTCACAACAATAAAACAAAAATACGATATACAAAGATTCGAAATAAAAAAGTCAATTATGTTGTTGTTTAGTCGTGTCCGACTCTTCGTGACCCCCTGGACCAGAGCACGCCACGCCCTCCTGTCTTCCACTGTCTCCTGCAGTTTGGTCAAACACGTGCTGGTAGCTTCGAGAACACTGTCCCACCATCTCGTCCTCCGTCGTCCCCTTCTCCTTGTGCCCTCCATCTTTCCCAACATCAGGGTCTTTTCCAGGGAGTCTTCTCTTCTCATGAGGTGGCCAAAGTCTTGGAGCCTCAGCTTCAGGATCTGTCCTTCCAGTGAGCACTCAGGGCTGGTTTCCTTCAGAATGGAGAGGTTGGATCTTCCTGCAGTCCATGGGACTCTCAAGAGTCTCCTCCAGTACCACAATTCAAAAGCATCCATTCTTCGGCAATCAGCCTTCTTTATGGTCCAGCTCTCATATAGAATGCATTTTGGGGTTTTGAATCAATGGTCAAACAGTGGATCTTATTCTGATTGCCCCGGCTGAAAACCTTGCCACCTTTGCTGTCACCTGCTCGTCTTGATCTGCCAAGAGAAAGGACACTGGGACAGTGGCTGGGAGACCCGGAATGGACGATAAAAGAGGGGTGATAATCTCATTCCTCAAGTCTTTATCAAGAGGGCAAGCCAGAAGGGCATGTGCCACCGATTCGGGACTGCCGTCTCCACAGGGACATAAGTGTTTTTTGTGTGGACTCAGCAAATTCCATTCAGAAAATGGAGAAACACGCCTCGGAAGCTGTTAGACTTCTGAGGCGCGTTCAAAAACAGAATCATTCGCTTCCAGGTTTCTGGTGTTCAGGTTCCAAATCGTTCAGCTTCCAAGGCGCTCAAAAAAAATGAGGTTCCGCTGTACAATTACTAATCCCAATCATTCAGATGCCAAATTATATAATTTAGGTGGGTCCCACCCCCCTGCATGCAAGAATGGATGGTTTGGGTTTTTTTACTGCGTTCCAAAATCTTATCCATCTCAATTAAAACCCATTCAAAAATTATTATTCTTATTATTAGCTTGCAAAGGTATCCACAACAGTATCGTTCAGCATTTGGCTGGTGGCGAAGCCCCAACATTCCCCTATTGTTAGCTTGCAAATCTATCCCCAAAATAAAAAGGCAAAGGGACCCCTGACCGTTAGGTCCCGTCGTGGCCGACTCTGGGGTTGCGGCGCTCATCTCGCTTTACTGGCCGAGGGAGCCGGCGTACAGCTTCCGGGTCATGTAGCCAGCATGACTAAGCCGCTTCTGGCGAACCAGAGCAGCGCACGGAAACGCCGTTTACCTTCCCACCGGAGCGGTACCTATTTATCTACTTGCACTTTGATGTGCTTTCGAACTGCTAGGTTGGCAGGAGCAGGGACCGAGCAACGGGAGCTCACCCCGTCATGGGGATTCAAACCGCCGACCTTCTGATCGGCAAGTCCTAGGCTCTGTGGTTTAACCCACAGCACCACCCACGTCCCCTCTCTCATGTAAAGGTAAAGGGACCCCTGACCATTAGGTCCAGTCGTGGCTGACTCTGGGGTTGCGGCGCTCATCTCGCTTTATTGGCCGAGGGAGCCGGCGTACAGCTTCCGGGTCATGTGGCCAGCAGGACTAAGCCACTTCTGGCGAACCAGAGCAGCGCACGGAAACGCCGTTTACCTTCCCGTCGGAGCGGTACCTATTGATATACTTGCACTTTGACGTGCTTTCGAACTGCTAGGTTGGCAGGAGCAGGGACTGAGCAATGGGAGCTCACCCCATCATTGCGGGGATTCGAACTGCCAACCTTCTGATCGGCAAGTCCTAGGCTCTGTTTTTTAACCCGCAGCACCACCCTCGTCCTGCCCCTAAAGTATGTTTCTGCATTTGGCTGGTGGGGAACATCGGGGCTTCCCCACCAATGCTCTCCCAGCCGGCCGTCGTTTCCCCTCCAACAAGAGACGTGTTCAGATCCTCTGCGAGAAGAGCTTTATTTCAATCCCGGACTGAATGTTCTGGTTGTAAAATCCTTCTCAATGAACGTCTGGGAGAGAGCTAAACCCTTTAGTGGCGCCGCATAAAACGACTGCCCCAGATAAATCGCTGCCTGGAGGGCAGGGGCTAAGCCGAGAGGGGATTAACCCTCTCTCTGCCCTGTCTTCCACCCCGTTGCCAGAAGGACGTCGGAGATGGCAGGAATGCTAGCCTTCTTAAGCTCAGGGGCACATGGGTGCCAGCCCTCTGGTCAGTTGGTCCCCTCTGCGTGGTGTCACACACAGTGTCAGATTTATGTATGGGGGGGGGAGTGATTTAGGAGCCCGGCCTGTGATGTCAAAGCTATTCCACGTATTCATAAGTTTAATTTTTTTAATAGTCTTCTGTGTGAGCCATCGCTTATGCGCCGTATTTTTCGCTCTATAAGATGCACCAGACCATAAGACGCACCTAGTTTTTGGAGGAGGAAAGCAAGAAAAAAAATATTCTGAATCCCAGAAGCCAGAACAGCAAGAGGGATCACTGTGCAGCGAAAGCAGCAATCCCTCTTGCTGTTCTGGCTTCTGGGATAGCTGCGCAGCCTGCATTCGCTCCATAAGACGCACACACATTTCCCCTTACTTTTTAGGAGGGGAAAAGTGAGTCTTACAGAGCAAAAAATACGATATTTTCCATTTTTATATTGTCATATTATTCGGTGAACTGAGACCTGCAGGTTTAGGGCGGTATACAATTTTAATAAATCATCATCATTGATCTTGGGAATTTTAAAAATTATTGGTCAGGCTTGCCCAAGACTCAGACAGAGCTGCGACAGGTAGGCTCTTTAATTCTCAAGGTCGTGGGTTTGAGCAAACGATTCCTGCATTGCAAGGGGTTGAAGAATAGATTATCTTTAACGGTTCCTTCCAAACTCAACAGTTCTCTCCCATCTCCTCCGAGTGTCCTGTTTTTCCAGGGACAGTCCCGGAATTACAGAAGCCGATTTCTCTTCTGCCATCGAATGGCGGATGAGTTTCATGAATTAAATCAGAGCCACACCTGATATTCAGTGCCGGATTTACGTATAAGCTAAGCAAGCTCTAGCTTAGGGCCTCACTTTCTTGGGGGCTTCCAAAAAAATTTAAAGGGGAAAAAACTGGATGCACATTTCCAAAATACAAGCTAAAAAACCAATAAAATAAAACCTACATACAGCGTTTTGTGTTGTGTAGGCTCCTGTGATGTAAGTCATGGGCCCCGCCTGCTCCCTAAAATATCCCTGGTTTGCTCCTTTCTATATATAGGGTGCCTACATTCTGCACGTGCAAATGGCTTTTACAAGTATTGAAGATATAGGGGAGAAGAGAGAAATGTGAGCATAGGGGGCGTGATTAGAATACGCAGTTGGTAAATGAATGAAACCGTAGAAGGGGAGGAAGGGAAGTCGATGGTTGTGAATGTTATGGCTATATTCATTGAAATGCAAAAAAATTGTAATATAAATCAGGCATAGGCAAACACCAGCCCTCCAGATGTTGGGGACTACGATTCCCATCATCCCTGACCACTGGTCCTGTTTGTTAGGGGTGATGGGAATTGTAGTCCCAAACAGGCCAGAGTTTGCCTATGTCTGGTATAAATAATAATAATAATAATAATAATAGGTGCCTTGGAAAGCACATTTAGAGGGCACAAGGTGCAGAACTTAGGGAGCCTATTGCTGCAGATAAACATGTCAACTCTTCCTCAAATTCCTCCCCAGGGATTTCTCCGAAAAAGCCAGACATGGACAAGTCTCCCTTCAACAGTCCGTCTCCGCAAGATACTTCGCCCCGGCTGAGCAGTTTTACACAACACCACCGTCCCGTCATCGCCGTACACAGCGGTAGGTCGGGGTCAATTTCTTAGCGCCAGGCCAGTCCCTCCCAGCAAAATAAGGCAGGAGAGTTCTCCCTAAAGCTGGAACGTGCCACTTTGGGTTCATGTGTCTGCGTTGCAGGGAAGCCGTCTCATTTTGAAACCCCTCGCAAGTAGAAAAGTAACAGAGTTCTTGCACTGCTAGCTTTCTGCTTGCAGAGACTCCCAACATGTACCGTATTTTTCGCTCTAAAAGGCGCACCAGACCATAAGACGCACCGAGTTTTCGGAGGAGGAAAACAAGAAAAACAATATTCTGAATCTCAGAAGCCAGAACAGCAAGAGGGATCGCTGCGCAGTGAAAGCATCAATCCCTCTTGCTGTTCTGGCTTCTGGGATAGCTGCGCAGCCTGCATTCGCTCCATAAGACGCACGCACATTTCCCCTTTTTAGGAGGGGAAAAGTGCATCTTATAGAGCAAAAAATACGGTATGTGATTCCTCGGCCCAGCCGTCCAAATTGGCACAGCCCACCTCTTATTTTTTGACTCAAGTTGCTCCAGGCACAATTTTCGAAAGTCCTTCTTTTTTACTAAGGACGTTCTCTCCACCGTTCCCGTCAGGGTGCTCTGAGCATCCTCAGAAAACTACAGTTCCCAGAATTCTTTTCTGCAGCAAACGGCCCTGTGATCCTCAGCTGATAAATTGAATAAACGTAATTTAATAAAAGTAGCATTTCCTGCTGCGCATGAGGGGAGAGAGAGAGAGATGCTCCATCTTTGACAAGGAATGAGTGGAAACACCTGTGCCCCCCCCCGGTTGCCATATGTCCTCCTTTTCCAGGATATGCCCTCCTTTTAAGGATTAAAATATCCGGGCGGATTCTTAAAAAATTGACTTTCCCGGGGAGCAGGGAGGCGAGGTTGTAGCGGGAAAGAAGGCCACGGCGGTGGTCTCTGCAGAGGCGCCCCAGGCGGGGGTCCGGGGTGTCGCGGCGAGGCCGGCCACCCAGTCTCCTCTCTACCTGACAAGACAGAAGTACTGTTTTGGGGGGACAGGAGGCGGGCAGGTGTGGAGGATTCCCTGGTCCTGAATGGGGTGACTGTGCCCCCGAAGGACCAGGTGTGCAGCCTGGGAGTCATTTTGGACTCACAGCTGTCCATGGAGGCGCAGGTCAGTTCTGTGTCCAGGGCAGCTCCATCTGGGACGCAGGATGAGACCCTCCCTGCCCGCAGACTGTCTGGCCAGAGTGGTGCATGCTCTGGTTATCTCCCGCTTGGACTACTGCCATGCGCTCTCTGTGGGGCTACCTTGGAAGGTGACCCAGAAACTACAACTAATCCAGAATGCGGCAGCTAGACTGGGGACTGGGAGCGGCCGCCGAGACCACATAACACCGGTCCTGAAAGACCTACATTGGCTCCCAGGATGTTTCCAAGCACAATTCAAAGTGTTGGTGCTGACCTTGAAAGCCCTAAACTGCTTCGGTCCAGTATATCTGAAGGAGCGTCTCCACCCCCATCGTTCTACCCAGACACGGAGGTCCAGCTCCGAGGGCCTTCTAGCAGTTCCCTCCCTGCGAGAAGCGAGGTTACAGGGAACCAGGCAGAGGGCCTTCTCGGTGGTGGCGCCCGCCCTGTGGAACGCCCTCCCACCAGATGTCAAAGAGAACAACAACTACCAGACTTTTAGAAGACATCGGAAGGCAGCCCAGTTTAGGGAAGCTTTTAATGTTTGATGTATTACAGTATTTTAATATTTTTTTGGAAGCCGCCCAGAGTGGCTGGGGAAGCCCAGCCAGATGGGGGACGGGGTATAAATAATAAATTATTATTATTATTATTATTATTATTATTATTATTATTATTTATTATCTGTCGCCCCCTGCAGGTATCGCCCGAAGCCCTCACCCTTCCTCCGCGCTACATTTCCCCACCACCTCGATCCTGCCCCAGACAGCCTCCACTTACTTCCAACACACAGCCATACGGTACCGCCGCACCTGAACCCGCAGGACCCTCTGAAAGACCTCGTCTCACTGGCCTGCGACCCGTCCAATCAGCAACCGGGACCGGTAAGGAACCGCCCATCTCGTCCCCGTGTGGTTTTGGGGTTTGGGGGAGTCCTGGGACTTGGTGATCTCTCTCAACTCGCTCTTCCCAAGGCCACCGTAGATACCACGCCGCTGCCCCTCTCCCCTGCGTGGTTTTTCTCACCCTCTTGAGGACTAGCGGATTGTTCGGGCTGCGGCGGTTTCCCGAGCGGCCGTGTGTAGAAATGCGCATTACGCCAGGCTGAAACTTCCCAAACCTTTTGGAGGTCACAAGGTGGTTAGATTGGTCTCAACTAGGGGCAGGGCCTTTTCAGCACTGGCCCCGACTTGTTGGAACGCTCTGTCGCAAGAGACCAGGGCCCTGCGGGACTTGACATGTTTCCGCAGGGCCTGCAAGACAGAGCTGTTCCGCCTGGCCTTTGGTCTGGACTCAGTTCTGACCCTTCTGTTTCCCTCCCCTTATGGTCTTGATCTATGGGCTACTATTAAAATGAGGCTGCATTTTAACCTGTATTTTAAATTGGTTTTTTTAACCGTATTTTCGCTCTATGAGACGCACCAGACCATAAGACTCACCTAGTTTTTGGAGGAGGAAAACAAGAAAAAAAATATTCTGAATCTCAGAAGCCAGAACAGCAAGAGGGATCGCTGCGCAGCGAAAGCAGCAATCCCTCTTGCTGTTCTGGGCTTCTGGGATAGCTGCACAGCCTGCATTCGCTCCATAAGACGCACACACATTTCCCTGTACTTTTTAGGATGGGAAAAAATGCGTCTTACACAGCAAAAAATATGGTATTTTCCATTTTTATATTGTCATATTATTCGGTGAACTGAGACCTGCAGGTTTGGGGCGGTATTACAATTTTAATAAATCACCATCCTCATCGTTGATCTTGGGAGTTTTAAAAATTATTTGTTAGGCTTGCCCAAGACTCAGACAGAGCTGCGACATGTAGGCTCTTATAGAGCGAAAAATACCGGTAATTATTATTATGTTTTTACTGTCATTCTACTGGTGTTAGCCGCCCTGAGCCCAGCTCTGGGCCGGGGAGGGCGGAGGTATAAATAAAATTTATTATTTTTATTATTAAAAGGGAGCTGTCTGTGCGTCAGGACAGGAAGTGTTGATGGCGAAAGAGGAGGCTCCCTTGCTTGTGTTGGGGCACACAGATATCCTGTGACTGACTTCCCTTCGTCTTGCAGGGGGCAGCTCTGGAGTTTCCCATAATGCCCCGGGACACTTGTTGCATTTTGGGCATATGACACCTTGTTCCAGGGTGTAATGCAGTGATTCAGTGTGTCGTGGCACCCTGGGGTGCCTTGAATGATGTTCAGGGGTGCCGCTGGCAACAAGGAAGGGTGTTCAAAAAATGTTGAGGGGCTGCCAGCTCTGCAGGCAAGGGGGGGACATAACTGGACTCCTGAGCCCCACAGGGTGCCGCAGAAATAATGCCGTGGGTCAAGGGAGCCGCAGCTTAGAATCTACAACAGCGAAAGCACAACACAAAAGGAAAGGGAACTAGGAGGGCAGAGGAAAATGTCAAGCTCGGGAACCGGTTTGTTATAAGGACCAGCAGGTCTGAGAAAGGGGGCATTGCTTAGACAGAAGATGGGATAGATCAGGGGTTGGCAAGGCTTAGTCCATCAGCTTAAGCTAAAGGTAAAGGACCCCTGACCGTTAGGTCCAGTCGTGGCCGACTCTGGGGTTGCGGCGCTCATCTCGCTTTACTGGCCGAGGGAGCCGGCGTCCAGCTTCTGGGTCATGTGGCCAGCAGGACCAAGCCGCTTCTGGCGAACCAGAGCAGCGCACGGAAACGCCGTTTACCTTCCCGCCAGAGTGGTACCTATTTATCTACTTACACTTTGTGCTTTCGAACTGCTAGGTTGGCAGGACCGAGCAACGGAGCTCACCCCGTCATTGCGGGGATTTGAACCGCCGACCTTCTGATCGGAAATCCTAGGCTCGTGGTTTAACCCACAGCGCCACCCGCGTCCCTTCAGTCCATCAGCTTAGTTTGCCATTATTCTCTGGTAGGACTTTATCTTATTTCCGTCTCTGGGCTGTAGCATCTGTCGGCAGTCGTTGCATAGCCAGATTATTGTCTTCCAAAGCAACTCCTCTGTTCCGAACTTAACAACGGAGAGCGTAATGTTGTGGTGGCCAACAAAAGAGGTCTCAGGGCAAAATCTTAAAAAATGTATATAAACACTGACAACTGGAACACTGGCCTGCGAGCGCTCCAGTTGGAGAACAGCCTTGACCAAAGGTTGGGGCTTTGAAGACACTCGAACTCAGGACACAGAGGGAAGATGTGCTAAGAGGAAGGCACGCTTGGCAAACCCTCACCGGATCAACTCCCGCCCGGAAACCAATGTCCCCACTGTGGAAGGACGTGGGATCCAGAATTGCCTCCACAGTCACTTACGACTTACGGGTTAAGACCGTGTTTATGGAGACAAATGGCTATGAGGATCGCCGAAAGGAGCAGTAGAAAGATTG